CTGTCCCCCAAACCTAGCACATATGGACAGGCCTCAAGCCCAGACTTATCTCAAATCAAGATCCTCCTTCTGGAACCATCCATTTTTATGGTTGGTGAAACTACTTGGAAAAGAAAGTGTAAGCAGGCTCTTTGGCTTTCCTCATCCCTCCACCTGCCTGCACTCACACTCCACCCCCCCAACCCGCCCACCTACCCTCCCCCGTCCTAGTTATTTTTGTCCCAGCAGCCTATATGCCAGCACTGAGATCCAGAAGGCCCGGGAGCTCTGAGTTCTGGGCCCAGCTCAGCCACCAGCCCTTGAGGCAACCCCCATATCTGGGTCCTCCCTGGACCTCTGTGTTCCCACTGCCAAATGGCATGAGAGTTCTATGTCTGGGAAGAACTGGGCTGCAGCCACAACAAAGACTGAAATGATGGCTTCCTCCAGATTGGAGCAGAATTTTTATGATATCCAACCCAGGCACGTTGACAGTCCTGGGCTCTCAGTGGGAGTAACTGTGCCCTGTCCTTTTTGGTCCCCAGAAGGTCAACAGGTGAGGCAGGGAACATGCTCTAGTCCCTGTGCTGCAGAGGAAGAGTGTCGGACTGTGGTCTAAGGACCTGGAGGCAGGTCAGAGACTGCCATCCCCAGGCAATCCATTTAATCCCATCTAAGACTCAGTTTCTTCATCTGAGAAATGGAGATAACAAGGCCATACACACACACATGTCCCAGCACACTACCCGTTTTTGGGACCCAAGTCAGTCAGAGCCAAAGGCCAAAAGCCAGAGAGGGGAGAGAGTAGAGGGAAATGAGGTAGGGACAAATTTCAAAGCCAAGTACAGTGGTAAGAACTGCCAGCAGAAGCAGAGTCCTTCTAAGACCAGATGTCAGGGAACACTCCTTGGTATACACAATATAAAGTGCAGTCCTCACCAGGGTGCCCAGCTGGTGGGCAGCCCTCCAGCCTGGTGGTATGTGATAGCCCACTTACCTGGCTTCTGCAGGTACAAAAGTTTCCTGGAGGGTCAGATTCCACATCAGACCCACAGCTCTATAGTGCAGAGATGGAGCCATTAAACATAACTACATCCGCTATCAGAAGTACCCCTGCCCAGAGCCATCTGCAGGCTGGAGAACAGGTTGGTGGAGTCAAACAACGGACAGGGGGATGGGGCTCAGCTTCCTTCTGGCATTGGCCTGGCACTAAGTTCTATCTTACCGAGGTTGGGTGGCAAGAACTCGGGACTGGAGTCCCGGTGGAGGAAGGTCATAGCATGGGTGTACCTCATGGGGCCCCACCCTGCCTGGCCCACACAGGTGCATTGCCTGATGCCACAGTTCTGTGAGCAAATGGACAGTATGATGGATGAGAGTGGTGAGGGAAAGGGAAGGAGGTTGCCAGATAAAACAGCATGCCCAGTTAATTTACATTTCACAAAGACAATAGCAAATTGTCTAAGTATAAGTATGTTTTGTGCAATATTTGGGGCAGAATTATACTAAAAACCTATGAGTTATTTACCTGAAATTTTAATTTAGAGGGGCATCCTGTATTTTTATTTGCTAAATCTGGCAACCTTCAGCAGTGGGATTTGGGGTTTGGCAACCTTTGGGGAGGTCAGGATCTTCGTGTAGAGCCCAACCTGCCTGCCAAGGCCCACTCACCGGAGAAGAACTGGCTGATGGAGGTGGGTAGGAGCGTGAGGAAGGCCAGGGGGTGGGCGAAGGAGATGGAGAGGACCGCGGAGATGTAGGCCACCCCGGCCACCATGGAGTAGAGACAGGCCAGAGAGGTGTAGAGACAGAAGAGGACGAAGTTGCGCATGTTCCTGCTGCCGATGCAGTTGCCGGTGAAAAAACAGTGATGGTCGTGCCTCAGGGTGACTCTAGCGCACACTCGGCAGAAGTGGGTGCTGGGCGAGGGGCACGAAGCCCTTCTGGCCGAGGTCCCCTGGCAGGCGCCCAGGTCGTCTGGGGAGTTCTGGATGACCAGGACATAATTGCCGAGGGCGTTGGCTGAGAGGAATAAGAAGAGTGCCCCGTGGAGCAGGGCGGGCGAGAAAAGCCGGGCGGCTGCAGGGTCCTCGCGCATGCTGGGCAGGAAGAGGAAGAGCTGCAGCACGAAGGTCACTAGGGAGATGCACAGGAAGTAGGCGGGGGCCACCACGTTGAGCAACCTCAGGGCCAGCATCCTCGATTACATTCCTGCGGGGCCCACGGGGAGAGAGACTGCTGCATCCAGGGGGCGCCCTGGAGCTCTTCCTAGGCGTCGCGGCTTCGGAGGGCTGCGCGCAAATCCATGCCCCCAACCTTTGCCCCTCGGGTTATCTGTCCCCACTTCCCTAACCCTGGACCCTGCAGGCTAGAGCCCCTGAGACCGCAGTGGTCGCCGGGAGTTGTCCCCTACCTCGAGGTGGCCGCTCCCTTGATTTTGAGCGACCTCTGCGCCCTAGTGCCAAGCACAAAGAGGAGGGGACTTGTTCTCAGTCGGTAGGGTTTGGGTGACTAGGGAACAGGGCTGTGCCTTCTGTGGCTGTGGAGAGGAGTCCAGGTTTGGAATTTCTGGTTCAGACCTCCCTAGGTGGAGAAAGCAAAGGATTTGGGTCGGGGGCAGAAAGAACAGCACCATTTGACCTTCTGAAAGTCCTGCTTCACCTCCCCTTTATCAATCCCTCAGCCCCTCCCCCACACATCTCGGGCTGTACTCGGGGACCTCGAAGGTTACTCAAGGCTCTTTGGAGGGGGCGGGGGGACGTGTGTGTGTGTGTGTGTGTGTGTGTGTGCGTGTGTGTGTTTCCTTGTTCGTGACCCTGTATGTGTAATCTCTGTGCCGCTGGGCATCTGTATTTGTTTATGTTTATATCTCTGTATAAACACTCCCAGCCGCTGCCACCTGGCTTTTTAAAAAATCAATTAAAACAATCGATACATTCACGCGCTCTCTCAAGCACCAGGTGGGGTGAGGGGGCGCAGCCGAAATACCTGTGTCAGTGGATCTTGCTCAGCCCATCTTTCCGACGCTGGCTGCTTGGGCTATTTCTTAGCAGGGAGCGCTTTAATTTGAGGCGACGAAATTAAAATACTGCCGCCACTGCTCCCCCCTCGGCGACTGCCTCCCGCCCTCCTGGCGGGAGAAACCCAAACAAGCCCCATGGTGCCCAAACCCTTTCGATGCCGACAAGCCCGCCCTTGGGTACACGAGTGGGTGCTTAGCCAGTCTTTCCGGGGGTCGACCCCCGCTGCCGAGCGCAGGCCTCACCACAACCCCACTCCACCCAACACCACAGCCCGGTTCCTGCCCAGCTCCCGAGCGCCCGAGAGAACTTTTCCGAGGGCTAAGGAATCGGCCAGCAGAACGAATGAGAAAAGTTCTGGGAAGGCGGCTGCACTCAGGATGGGTGGATGCCACCGGGCCCCGGTCCAGGCTGTCCCGTTAGGACGGGGCGACTGGTCACCTTGGAATCCCCTTTGCAGGTGACAGTGCCCCCCGGGGGTCGGCAGCCGCCGTGGGGAGCGCAGTCTGTCCCCGCTGCTGGCGCACAGCGCACGGCACGCCCGAGTGTGGTCGCTGAAGGCTCTGCACCCCCCGGCGGCGCGCCGCGGGCAGCTGCAGCGGCGCTGCCCACCGGGAGAGCCCTCGGCCTGGGGCTCCGGCAAGGCAAGTGTCTTCCCCGCGCCAGTCGCCAGGGGGGCGCGGGAGCAGCCTCCAGATGCGCCGCGGAGCTGAGAAGGCGAAGGACCGGGGGCTGTGGGAGCGAGGGGCGCTCGGCGGACAGCCGCAGCCCCGACCCTTCGCAGGAGAAGGGACCGCGGGACCAACCTCGGCGGCCCAGAGGTGCGGGGAGCTGTCCGTTCAGCACTGGCGCCAGTGGACAGGGCACAGTCCGGGCCCCAGCCCAGAGGGCAGCGGGGGCGGCCGCCGGCTTCCCCGCAACTGCCTCGCGGACGCCCGGGAAGCCGCCCCCGGCGCCGCCGCCGCCGCCGCACCGCCGCAGAAGGGTGGGGAAATGAACTCACCCAGCTCTGGTCGCCGACTAGAGGAGCCTCGGTCGCCGACTGTCGCCCTCCCTGAGACTGCAAAGTTGTGGGCTCGGCCCCGCTGGCTTGCAGCCTCCTCACGCTTCGTTTCGGGGACTCGGCAGGTAGCGAGGATGCAGGGAGGAGGGAGCGGGCAGCTGCTGGCCTCCCACTTGGGCGCCAGCGAGTGGGGGCCAGGAGGCAGCGGGGATGGCAGCTGGGCACCCCCCAACCCCGCCACCCCTCCCTCCGCTTCTGGGGGCGGTGCTCTGGCCATCCGCCTCAGCATCGCGGACTTGCCCCCTCTGCTCCGGTCCCCTTGAGTGGGCTGGGGTGCCCTGCCTGACTTCAGCTGCGGGTTCCAGCTGAGAAATGCGATTCAGCCCTGATGTGAACGCTCCAGCCATCACCTTGTCCTTCCCTCCCTGCTCCCAACAAACCTCCTTGCTCTCTGCTCTGCTTGAACTGAAGGAAACCTGGAGGTTGAGGACTCGGCTTGCCAAGGCAGCACCCTTGAAGATCATTTTCGTCTCCTTGGAAGAGCTGTGTACAGAGGGGCTGAGAGCGGGACTCTGGGGCCTGTCTGCCCAGGTTTGGATATCCACCATTCACTACTATGAGATCTTGGAGCCCAGTTTTCTCATCTGTAAAATAAAGATGTGAGGATTAAATGGCAATGTACGTAAAGCCCTTAAGCAGGGCCTGCCCAGGGTAAGCACTATTTGAGTCTTAGTTCATGATTATTGACACTACTTATTGGGCCCTTACTATATACCAGGCACTGTGTTAATCCTTTAATAGAAGACAGCTTCATTAATCCTCTCATCATGATCTGGGAAGCTGGATGAGTCCCATTCTGGGGATGAGGAGGTTGAGGCTCAGGGAAGCGAAGTCCCATGTCTCAGGTAGCCCTGCAGGTAAGTGACAGTCAGGATTTGAACCCAGTAGGAGCACTAAAGCTCTTACTTTTGGCCACTGTACAGTCCAGCATCATTTTGGGGCCCAGAGGCAGCTCTGATTTGGGAGAAGGGAGAACAACAGAGAGGTTCATCTAGAGCAGAGCTTGAACCTGGAGCTTCTGCTTGGAGCCCCACCCCCATCTCTCTGTTCCTATTTCCTTTCCCTCTGTAATGCCGATAAGGTGGGTACTCTGGGAGGCACGTGACAGTCAAATTGGGGAGGGAGGCAGTAGAGAGAGTCTCAGAAACAGTAAACACTGCAGGAATATTGATGCCTTTTCTATCTTCAGTTCCCTGGGTGTCACAGGTCACCTGCCTACCCAGCTCCATTCCTCTGAGTGAAGGTACATAATTGCATTGCTTCCCCAACTGGTTGATTAAAATAAGAGCAATGCCTTAAAATGAGGGCTATGTGCCTTTCAGCTCAGCCTCTATTTTTGAATCATCAGACACTGTTTTCTCTGTATTTTATCAACGTACATCAAAATAAAAAAGCAGCCAGGAAATCTTTTCATGTTCTAAAAGGATCTTTTATATAAGTAAAAGAACGGTTTGCTCCATGGTGGCCTCTGAGCATTTGGTAGCCCTAGGAGTTCCAGCGGCCCCAGGACAGACAGGAGGAAACACAAATGGCCTTTTCCCTTTGGAGCAGTCTTATGTCACAGTCATGGCTTCTGGGCCCTTTCACCAGCTCTGCCTGCCTCTCACACTGGCTTGGCAGGGAAGGAGCCTGGAGTGCTCGGTTTGGGCTATTCTGATTGAGGATCTTCATTCCCCTGGTACCTTGAGAGTTGGTCTGTATTTCTAATTTTATTTGCATATGGGTGTGCAGTGGGAAGGTGTGTGTCTGACTTTGTGTGTGTGAGGGGAGGGAGGGAGAGAGAGAGAAGCTAAGCGAATGTGGGAAGATGTTAGTGGGGAAAGGGAATATTCAGCTAGGAAAGAGAAGGATGTGAGTGTAGAAACACAAACCAACAAGGACAATTATTTATTTAGAAATATATGGCTCGGCACCTGTAGGTCAAGCAGCTAAGGCACCAGCCACGTACACCAGAGCTGGTGGGTTCGAATCCAGCCCAGGCCTGCCAAACAGCAAAGACAACTGCAACCAAAAATGCCTGGGCATTATGGCAGGCACCTGTGACCCCAGCTGCTTGGGAGGCTGAGGCAGGAGAATTGCTTGAGCCCAAGAGTTGGAGGTTACTGTGAGCTGTGACGCCACAGCACTCTACCCAGGGTGACAGCTTGAGACTCTATCTCAAAAAAAAAATATATATATATATATAGTTTATCAACAGAAAAGGATATTAAAGCTTCAGATCTAAAGCTAGTGGTTCCTCAGCCCCCCCTTAAGGAGTAGAGCAAAAGGAAGTACAGCCAAGTATTGTTCTGTTTTTCTAAAATACGTGCTCATCCCTGACAAAATCAATAGGGAGGTCAGCCTGAAACTTCACTTTGCTCTGGCCCCATTAGAGGTTAAGTAGACTAAGAATGTACATATTTTTTTGCCATTCACCAACTGTGTGATCTTAAGCAAGTCATTTAACCTGTTTGCTCTTGGGATTCTCATCCATAAAATGAGACTAATGATGTGCCTTTGTAGTGATGATGACCACATGGGATAATGTCCTTTAAGTACCTTGGTCCCAGCAGGAGATTGGACAGTGTTAGTTTCTCCCACTTCCTCTTAAGAAGGCTCTTAGTCTTTATCCATAGGACTGTCTTCTCTTTCTAGCTAAAATAAGAGCTCCTGGACTATGTTGGAAATATCTGGGGGTCTCTTTCATATCTCCTAATAGGATGATTTGCCCAGAGTGGACACCAAATAAAAATGTACTGATTGATGAATTGACACTAGTCTCTCTCAGACAGGAAAGGCTATATTCTGAAATGTCTGATGAGGACACATTTGCCATTGATCTTGCCTCCTGTCACCACCCACCCTGCCTATAATCTCATTCCCTAAACAGTGTTGGAAAGTAATTTAGAAACCACACTCTCCATTGCCCTTGTTATGTGTTCTTATGGTTGAACTGTGGCTGCATCACCAGGGGTCCCAAGGGGGCAGGGACACTAATATGTATCTCATAGCTGCTGAGTACTTTCTTGGAGATATGCACCATAAATCTTGCTATTTGGTGATGGTGTTTGGATAAAATGAATTCCCTTCCAAGTAAAAATCATTCCATTTAGCCTCAATGTTGTATACAAAGAAATTCTGTGAAGCAAGCAGCTTCTCCCTTGAATAAAGAACCCTCCCCTTGTCTGCCAGGTCCTACAACTCCCCGAATGCTTTAGATGGGGACTCGAGAAGCTGCACCTAAGACCTAAGAAGGCTGGTGGGGTTTTTCTTTCATTCTCATGCTCTTAGTTCAGTTAGATTGGAATGAGATAGGCTGGGGTTTCAAGGTTAACTGGTGCTCTGAAATTAAGATTTTAATAGACATCCTTGGACCCGATGCTCTTT